GTTGCACATTCCAAGCCTCTCGAATCATTTCACAAAAGGAGATGTGAGCTCAGCAGCTCTGCCGGTGAACACAGCAACCATTCTGTCCTGACCAAACTGCATAGCCATGTTAATCAAGAGAGCACACAGCTCCCAGCCTACGGGCTGGCTCCCCATGCTTTCTACTGGACACAGGGTGAGCCACTCATCCTCGCTTGCTGTGTACCCTCCCAGCATTAGCACTGAAAATCTGAATCCTGGGAAACCCCTCCACCCTGGACAAACCAGGATGCAGGTCACCTGCTGACAGGTAACCAACCAGGCAGTTCCCAGAACCTCAGAAACCATCAGACACACCCAGGACTGAGAGACAGCCCTCGGCCTAATGCTTCAACTGAAATAGCAATTACAGTTTATGAGCTGATCGGGGACAGACTAATGGGTTGGCCCCTGATTCTGAGTACCTGTGTGCTTTACATGGTTTCCATCAACTGCCTGGTCTATCAAAATCGGTTCAATTAAATCCATGCATCCCAGGACACTGAACATGGTCTGCTGACATTTGCTTCCACCCTGGCAAACACAGTTCAGGGATGGTGATTATGGAATTAAATTTCCCACCTTCCATTCTGACTGCTCTCTGGCCCTGACTGGATCTCATCTGCCAGAGAGGATTTTTCCTCTCTATCTTTCCTTTGATCACAAAAGGAGGTGGGTCCAGCCAGGCCTAGGTGCTGAGTTCCTGTCATTTCAACATTTAAGTTAAAACCACACATACACTCCCATGTCTTTTGCAGAGAACACACACACTTGTAGCTGGACAACCCATTGCTCCTTTAGATACTGTTCAACGAAACTGTTGTCTTGCTTCTAATTGTTACAGGTTGCAAAGAAGTTGTCCTTGAAGATGAATGAGGTTGACTTCTATGAGCCATTTATGGACGAGCCCATTGCCATCCCTGACAAACCCTACACAGAAGCGGAGCTCGTGGAGTTTGTGAAAGAGCACCAAAGGTGCCCCAGATGGCATGCAGGGAGTGGGAGCAGGGGTGATCCAGGGCCTGGAGGGATGCAGACAAGCCTCTCAGTCCCACCATTTCAGACCCCCAAGAGCAACCTGGAGTTAGCACCCCAGCAGAACTGAACTCAGCAGTGTGGCTTTGTTGGTCATTGATCAGTGGCTACATTTTCTGAATATGGGTTTACCTTTGCAAACAAAGTTAGACCACCTCCCCGCAGTGAAGAAATCACCTCCTACAGTAAGATGTCACAAGTGAAATTCCACAATGATAATGATAGTGATTTAATGTTAGCATCCTAAAGTATGATGCCAGATGCTTTGGGAAGCTATTTTACCTAATCTTCAACATTATGGGGGATATAATAAATTATATCCTAATTTTACAGATCAAGGAATTGGGCTCAGGGTAGTTAAGTAAAGAAGCCAAGGATGAACATTTTGTGCATAGAACTTCTGGGAGAGGAATATTTGATACCATTAGCACTAGCATGGATCAGCATACTTTTTTTGTAAGGGGCCAGAAAATAAATATTGCAGGCTTTGTGGGCCAGATGGTCTCTGCTGCAAGCACTCAATTCTGCCGTTGTAGTGAGCAAACAGTCATGGGCCATATGTAAACAAATGTGTGTGGCTGTGTCCCAACAGAAGTTTATTTATAAAAACAGGAGCCATTGGCTGGATTGGATCCACCAGCTGTATGTAGTCTGCTGACTTCGGCTCTTAAGGGAGAGACCATACCAGAACATGGAACATGGTGGTGGGTTTACCGCCTCATCCACCCGCTCTCCCCTCCTCGCGGTCACATAGGCTCACTGAACGTGGAGCATCATGACTCATCACTGGGTCGGCCTTGGTCCCCACAGGGAAGAGGCATTCGAATGAATAAATACCAACAAGGCTAACAGTATTGGCCAACATTCAAAAAGAAGTGAAACTATGAGCAAAAGATAGATCCAACCGGCTCCTCCAAACATCCCTCAAGGGCTTTTGATGGATCACCCCGGTGATAAAACTACTGTAGCTCTGGGCTGTTTCCTCTCCTGGGTCTCCTGAATCTGGGCCTGCTCAGGGTTCTCAGGAATGCTCCCTGTCAGTGAGGAGGGAAAGGGCTTCTTGACCTGGGCATAAGCTGACTCCGTTCCCTGTGACCCATTATCTGTGATAGACTTTATAATCCTGGGCTCAAACAGGCCTATGTAAAGGCTTCAGGCCCAGCTGTGTGTGACACACAACAGGGTCCATCTGCTCTGTTCCCTTAAGAGAGAAAACAAGTATGCAGAACTTGGGGAAGTGAACCAACATCTCATCCTACATTTCACTGTGCTGGGGCTTTGGTGTCAGCTGAGATAAATCTCTATTCAGGGAAGTTTATCTTTTGTTCTTTTCCCAGACCCACTCTACGTCGCCTGCGCCCAGAAGATATGTTTGAGACATGGGTAAGAAAGTGGCAAACTCTTTCTGCCTTGTAGAGATGAGTGCATTCCCCAGGAAGAGTACCCCTTTGAGTTCCAAACCTCAAACCCAGTCTTATTTGCCTGGAGTGGATGTCTGGGGTGGTGGAGAATTTGACATGTTGACAGCATCACAGTGGGTTACAACTCCGTTCCCCTGGGCTGGCCATTAGGCAAAATTACTCTATCTCTGAGCTCATTTCCTAGAGTGACTACTGGCTTTCATTCACTGGCCACCAGAAACCCAAGGTCACAGGTAGAAGCTCAGACCATACATTTCAGACTTGGGCTCAAGTTGAGAATCTGCCACCTATTAGCTTTGTATCCTACCTTAAATCACGTGGCCTTTCTGAGCTTTAGCTCCTGCATCTAAAATCAGGCTCATTGTAGGGACGAAGGTATGAAGAACCCAGACACAGTAGGTACTCCGTTAGTGCGTGGTAGCTGGTTTTGTAAATATCAACTCAAGGCACTGAAAAGTGCCGAGTCAGATTGTCCCCGAGGTCTGTGTCACAGACAGTATGTCAAGTGGGTTAGCATTATAAAGAGGGCCTTTGAAGATACACACCCCCACCCCACCCCAGCTTTATACAAAATTCAGTAAACAGTAACAACCAAAGTCTGTGAAGCTTTTATCAAAGCATTTCATGTGCCCTTTTACTTGGATCTCTCAACAGTTCTGGAAAGTGATAAAGAACAAGTATTATTTTAGCTTCCTAGAGAAACTGACAATCACACAGATTAAATCAACTACTCAAAGATATATAACTAATAAGCATTAGATCTGGGGACTTAAATTTAGACCACCTGGAACCAAATCTCTCGTTTTCTGCAGTATATATCCTAGAGTGGACCATGTCCCCATAAGGCAACATTTTGGTGGAGAGGGAGAGAAGGGTTGGTGGTAGGGAGAAGGAGATTAACATGGAAGCATGTGTTTACTAATTCTCTAATTCCGAGTCTAAAGTGACAGATGAACAGAATCATGGAGTAACTTGACACTCTCTGTTTTACTGGCATGTAACGTCTTTGGATATCTGAAGGTAAAACAAACATTTCACACCAAAGGCAAATAATTCAGTCTGGAGGAGTGGACTATTTAACAGCAACACAGCACAATAGAAACATCTTTTCCTAATATTTAAACTTTTCAAAAATTTAACATTTAGGAGGTCTTGTTATTGGATTTTAAAATAACAAAAAGGGTATAACAATGCTTTAAAAATAATATTCCTTTTTAAAAATATTCTCACCTTTCACTTAAAACAATTTCAGACTTATAAAAAACAGCGCAACAAATTCCATGACCTCTTTACCCAGATTCCCAAAATGTTAACGTTTGGCTTTATCTCATTCTCTTGATATAGAATTTTTCTGAACTGTTTGAGAGTAAATAGCAGACCCAATTCCCTTTTGCTCCTAAACACTTCAGAAGTTGTATAAAAACAAGAACTTTCTCTTACATAATCAATGTGTGCATGCATGCAAAATTGCTTCGGTTGTATCCAACTCTTTGCAACCCTATGGACCTTAGCCCACCGGGTTTCCTCTGTCCATGAGATTCTCCAGGCACAAATACTGGAGTGGGTTGCCATGCCCTTCTCCAGGAAATCTTCCCAACCTAGGAATCAAATCAGAGTCTCTTGCGTCTCCTGTATTGGCAGGCAGGGTCTTTACTACTAGTACCACCTGGGACGCCCACATAATCACAGTATGCTTATCCAAATCAGGAAGTTAATACTAATACAATTCCACATTTAAATTGACCAGTCATCACTAATATCCTTTATAGCAAGAGAAAACATTTGTTTTTTCCTGGTGCAGGATCCAAACCTTGATCCAAGACTTGTATTTGACTGTTATGTTTTTTTAGTTGCCTTTAATCTGAAATAGGTTGTTGGTATGTCTTTGTCTTTCATGAGACAAGGTACCATTTCAAATCGAGAGTGATTATTACTGTTCTGTTCAGCTATGCCTGTATCTTTAATTCTTATTTTGTTCGTTCTTAAGAGATAAGTATCTAGGCTCCTGGAAGGGAAACACTGCAAAATTGTAGAACCCTTCTCTCAGGTCTTTTCTCACTGACAGAGCAGTATCACACCCAAAACCACACCACCGTTGTAGGATAGTCCTGCCCCCTCCTTCTGATCATGGACACCTCTCAAATCATCCCCCTGCACACTGCTCTGAAGAAATGTTCCCTCTCCCATATCAGAGGTAGATATTCAGAAAGGAGGTTTGCCATCTGGCTTCACTGGAACCCATTCTCTGCTTCCTTTTCACTTAATGAATAAGCTACAGCTTTTGCTATACTATAAAATAAAAGTGATGGCTCACACTTTCCACATTAGTATATATTCAGTTGCTTTCTAATTGGAAAAGGGCTGTGTATTGAATTCAACCAGGCAGAGAAAAGGGCAACCAGAGGGGTTTAGTCCTTTCCAACACCCCATCATGGAATATCCATACGACATCCCCAGAAGCCCTAGCCAGCCCCTCATCCAAGTCTCCAACTAGGGAGAGAGGGCAGGATAGGCCACCCAGGGTTATCTTCGCATCCTGAAAGAGGAGCAGAAATCAGACAGTCAGAAGGACCTCGGGGAAGCCACTCGGTCCCTATCCCATCCACATGTACCCATTTTCAGGGCCTACTTGGCCACAGCAACTTACACCGCACAGGCTAGGGAAAGTGACCAATTCATGAACTTCAGAATCTTGATCTTCAATACCCACTTGCTTAGACATTGCAAGAGATTTAAATAAAATAGAAAAACTAGGTAGGGCTAAAGCAACCATTGACTGGCTTCTCTCCCCAATTGTACAGGTTTTTACAGCAGCAAACCACAGAAAATATAAATTACTATTCCCAAAATACTGGTATGTAGCAATATTTGCTGTGTGTAAATCAGACAGCTATTTATTTATTTACAATATTCAAAGAATGTCCAGACTCAATGCTGACTTGTCCCTCTGCTTTGAGACTCCACCTCCCCACCAGCCCTCCACCCTGGCCAGTTGTCAGCCACGGTCCTTCGCAAAAGCCCACAGAAATTGGACTCGGAGGTTCTTTCTGAAAGAATCTTCCCTTGATTGCAATAGGAAAGTCGTTCCCAGAGGGGGCCAGAGACCTGCTTCAGTGAGCCCCTACATCACTGACTGTCCCTTAGGGAATCTAACAGTTGCAACTATTTTTCTTCTCTTTGCATCTCTTCATTCAACTTGACAGCAAACATTCAACAGAGACAGGAAGGAAACAGAGTTACATATGAACAATGGTAATATCTGATTGGTGGGTAACTGATGTTTTACTTCTCCTTGGTATCTCTAGTATTTGCTAATTTTCTTCAAGAGGTATGTAAGATTTTTATCACTATACTCTTTAAAAAAAAAAATCAACAGACATTAAGCAGAACCTATTACATTGTGCTAATCACGTATTAAAAATAAGCACTGCTGTCCTGTCCTTAGGAATTCAGGGTTGAGTAGATGAAACAGTCCCAATAATAATAGAACACCAGTATGTTTGCTGCGATGACACAGGGACATATAAAGTGCTAGCAAATCTACACTAAGGTAGTCATCAAAGTAACTCCCAAATTTCCACTTCTTTGGGGGATCTGGTGCTCAGACACTTGGCCTAAAAGCTCCTCCTTGGCCTCTTTCGACTTAAGGAAGAGTCACTGACCAGCATTGGCAACATCTTCTGCAAGCCTGTGGAGAGACAACAGATTAACAGAGCCCATTCTCTCTCTTGTTGGGAATGTCAGAGAGGAAAATTTTCCCTCTACCCTCTTAGGTCTATTTCTTAGGGCCTGCAAATTAAACTGGCAAATGACAGATTGGCAAGAGGAAAAAACAGAGATTTAATTAGCTATTCATGCACAGGAGAAACGTGACTCAAGGAGGGACTTAAACACCATCTTAAGGGGGAATGGGGGGGGGCAGAGTAGCACTTCTGGGAGAACAAAATGACTTTTTTTGAATGATAAATGGGCCCTTAGGAGAGTAGATGGCAGATATGATAATTTTGTGATAATGTCTGTCTGAGTGATGACAACCACGTTCTTGGGGAGGCTCTGCTTTTAGGCAGATAAAGGATTTCAGGAATTCAGATGCCTTCAGCCAAAACAGTTTTATGTCACAGTGGCCTATTTGGGACCCCATCATTGAGAAAGAAAAGGAATGGACTTTGGGGTCAGACAGAGCTGGCTTGAATCCCAGTTATGTCAAGTGCCATCTCCATGGCTTTAGGTAAGTCACTCAATTCTTGAAGCATTAAACAGGAATCAGACTTTGAGATTCAGAAATAATGTATTTACAAAGTACCGATACATTTTGTGGCAAGTGGCAAATATTATTGTTGCCATTTTCACCATCATTATTATTTTAAGCCATAATCCTTTCCCTCAGAGAGCCTGCCATCGAGTTGAGAGACATTTGTGCAATTAAAAAGGTTATTTTCAAGGTAATGTGATGACTAACTGCGTGATCTGCACAGCAAAGGCTGTGGGGTTCAGAGAACGCCCCTGGGGTGTTCTCAGGCCGGTGGATGGTCAGCTTGGCTCCTCCCCCACCTTGCACATTGGATTCACACTAAGTAACCCTGATTTACCAGCCTGACCATGGATTCTTGCTCTGTGAGCTTATTACTGAAGATACCTGGCACTGAGAAGCAACTGCCTCTTTGCAGGTATTCAATACAGGTTTGTGTGCTGAATCTTTGAGATCCATAAAGAAAGAGGCTCTTTCTCTGGGTTATGGTTCTTCATCCAGGGGCCATCTCAGACCTGGGGAGTGACAGCCATATTAAGAACAGCTTCTTATCAAATTAATATGGATTCTTAATTCTAAAACTAATTTGCAAATGCAGTGTAGAAGGGTATACAGAAATGAAGCCTTCTTCCTAGAGTTAACACTGCTTACTTCCAACTGATGACAGGAGACAGAGACACAGGGTAGCCTAATGAGCACTGATCAGGATATTCTGTCTGGCGGTAATAGCAAATGTAAAACAGTGAAAGCTCAGACTCCCCTTCTGGTTGCCGTCAGATTTGTGTAATAAACCTATACTCACATATGCCTGCACACACATATCTGTAAAATTCAATTCCCCAGAGTCTGACCATGGCAGTGCCCACTCCCTTGTTTTTAATAATAATATTTTCCATTTAATCTCTCTTAGACCATTTGGAGGTTTTTGTCCATTCCAAACTCAAAGGGAAAAAAAAATTAGCATTTAGATAGGATTGCACCAGCATTAAAATCAACTGAAATGGAAACAGAGATCATGAGAGGTTTGAGATGCCTGGAGTTTTTTTTTTCCCTAGGATGATTCTAATATGACATTCGCGGCACCCAGTGAATCCCTCTGCTGGTGTCAGCGACAATCATATTCACTTAGATTTGTCCCTGGTACCTCATTCTCACACAGCTTCATCTCCAGGTCTCCTGAGGCTCACATTTCTCATAAGAGGGGCCCCTCCAAGCTCCTGCTTCTCCTTCTGCAGGAATCATCAGTGCAGAGGAGACACAAGGTGCATATACAACCCTTTCTGCTCAGGACATAGAGACACGAGATGCACCTGGTTGCCCATGGATTTGAAACACTCTCTCTAGATTCAGTGCAGAGGAGACACAAGGTGCATATACAATCCTTTCTGCTCAGGACATAGAGACATGAGATGCACTTGGTTGCCTATGGATTTGAAACACTCTCTCTAGATTCTCTACCCCATCCCAGCCTCCACACATACTTTTACTGTCACACCCTAAACTTTCCCTAAGTCTAAATTCCAGAGTTCTCCTGCAGCTGCCCACTCTCAGGATCTATCCTGCTTTGGCAAGCAGAAAGGACCCCTAGGAAACAACTTGGAGGTCACACCCAGCAAAGCGGTAGCTACTGACCACACAGGTTCTGCTTCTTCAATAAGAGATGTCTGTAACAAAAGCACTACACAGATGTAGATTCTTGTGTGAACAAAACAGACTCACATCCTCACTTATCTCATAAGAATATTATCTGCTACCTGTTTGAGGACAGTTTCGGGATCTGTTAGCAGCATTTGCAAGTTTCTATAATCTGGTATAACGCTGATTATATTTGCTGGCGGTGAATTCTTGAAACAGACCGACACACGCACTCACGGAGCTGTGTCCAGAATGCTTTGTGGCTCTCAGAGCTCCTGATGAACCAAACTCACATTCTTCCTCATTTTGCCTTTTACTGCTGCTCTCCTGGATCCTCCAGCCCACAGAAGTGAGGCCCTTTTCATGCTAATGTCTGTGTGTGGTTGGTGTTTTCCTGTGTTGCAAACCCACTGATTAAACTCCACACAGTCTTCCCCGCGGCTCATCGGTATTCCCTTCCTGAATGTGTGCGCCTGCGTCCATCCCGCTCCACCGCCTCCCATTTCCATTCCAGCCTCTGAGTCTGTACGGGACTCACTCTCTGGTATCTTTCCACCCAAGAGAGTAACTTTGATTCTTCTCTCCCACAGGAAGATGATTTGAACGGAATCCATATTGTGGCCTTTGCAGAGAGGAGTGACCCAGGTAGGAACCCTACCCCCTGTCCCCACTCAGGCATCTTAGACCAAAACTGACCTCTCTCTTTTGTCAGCCCTCGCCCTCTGTTGCGTCATTTCCGGTCTTCCGCAACCGCAAGGTACCGAGTGCCCCCTGGTGGTAGCCTATTAGGTATGACTCCACATTCAATGTGCACACAGCTAAGAGTATGACCCTGGAGAAGGAAATGGCAACCCACTCCAGTATTCTTGCCTGGACAATCCCACGGACAGAGGAGCCTGGCAGGCTACAGTCCTTGGGGTCGCAAAGAACCGGACACTACTGAGCGACTAAGCACAGCACAAGTGAGTATGCACCTCCTTCTGCCTAGCTGCCTGTCTATTAAGAAGCACCAAGGACTGAGGGGGAGGATATTAAAACATCCTAGCTTTAAGGGTGTGTATGTGTATGTGGGGGCTGTGCTTAGTTGCTCAGTCGTGTCCAACTCTCTGACCCCAAAGACTGTAGCCCACCAGACTTCTCTGTCCATGGGAATTCTCCAGGCAAGAATACTGAAGTGGTTTGCCATGCCCTCCTCCAGGGGATCTTCCCAACCCAGAGATCGAACCCTGGTCTCCCGCACTGCGGGCAGATTCTTTACCACCTGAGCCACCAGCGAAGCCCAAGAATACTGGAGTGGGTAGCCTATCCCTCCTCCAGGGGATCTTCCCGGCCCAGGAATAGAACCAGGGTCTCCGGCATTGCAGCCAGATTCTTTACCAGCTGAGCTACCAGGGAAGCCCCTGTGTATAGGGGGAGGGAGGTAAACTTCTGTTCACATTTAAACTTCATTTACCAATGTTGTGATCTAGCCTATATGAATTACAACCCTACCTTAAAATAACAACTGTGTATCCTTTGGTCTGCAAAATATTGTCTATGCTTGGGAAACTTCATAGAAAATAATCTGCCAAATAATGAGAACTGGGCAAAACAAGCAGCTTATTTCTAAAGTACAAAATGACCCTATAAATGGGTGTTAACCTGGTCAAATGTTTCCTGGTTTTACTCTTTTTAACACCAGTGGAGAGTGAAGTGCAGGAAAAATTAATTTTGCAGGTGGTAAAATTCTGGATTCCTTCAGCAGTGCTCTGTGAATAAAGTTTCCCAAAGGGAAGGGTAAGCGGTGATTCTGAAGTGTGCTTTGGAAGACCTGGGACAATCTAGAACACAACCAGAGAAGGCAGGGAACTTCCGTTAGGATGGCTAAGCAGCCAGGCTTTGGGCTATGAGGTACCTGGGCAGGGTTGCCCAACCTGACAACGCCACCAAGCCACCTGGGACTGACTGAAACAAGCTCTGAGCCACGTGCTGATGCCCTGTGGGGCTTGGGAACCGCTCTTCCGGGTAAGACACATTTGTATAGTATTTGCCTCAGCCTCTCATAGATTCATTCATAAAGACATAAGGAAGTAGAGGGTCAGAGAAGTTCAACAAACTGCCAAAGGGCTAGTGGGAGGCCACAAAGAGGGAACAATTGTCCCATTCATCAGTATATACCTGGTTCTTGTCTGTGCCTTGACACAGAGTAGGTGCTTAATAAATACCCATGGGCAGATGATTAGATATGCTGATAACTGAGACCGAGCCCAACTCTTCACTGTCTGACCAGCATTTTGTTTGTTTGTTTGGTAAAACGCTATCAGCCTCCACAGTTTCTTACAAACTGAAACCCAAATGTTTTTCTCATGCAATCTTTAAAATTGAGGTATAATCCACATACCATAAAATACATCGTTCTTTAAATATTTATGTATTTGGCTACCCTAGGTCTTAGTTGTGACATGCAAACTCTTAGTGGCAGCATGTGGGATCTAGTTACCTGACCGGGGATCAAACCCACCCTCTGCACTGGGAGACTGAGTCTTAGCCACTGGGCCACCATGGAAGTCCCTAAGGCTCACCTTTTCTAAGTGCAATTCAGCAGTTTTACTATGTTCACAAAGTTGTGCAAACCTCACCACTATCTAATTCCAGAACACTTTCATCATCTCAAAAAAATCTCATCTCAATTAGCAGCCACTCCTATTCCCTTTTCCTCCACCCCCTGGCAACAACTCAATGTACGTTCTGTCTCTCTGGATTTGACTGTTCTGGATAGTTCATGTAAATGAAATCATGTAATATGTAGCCTTTTGTACCTAGCATCTTTCACTTACCATAATGTTTTCCATATTCATCTGTGTGTGGTATGTATCAATAATTCATTCCTTTTTAGGGTCAAATAATATTCCTTTGTATGAAAAACAAATTTATGCTCCAAATTATCTGAAAATTTCCTCCCCCTTTTTTTCATTAATTTTTTGGAATGTTCACTGATGTCCCAGTTTTCCCATCATTGAATTGCAGATTTGGGAAAACTCCTCAAGAAAACCTAATCTGTGTCCAAAAAAAATATCAATACGTTTCCAGCTTTTTCGCACAATTCTGGCTACCCCCAGTCCCTGGAGAAGAAGATAGCAAAGAAGCCAGTTGCCCAAGGTTTACAAGCTATAATCAAACAGAATGGGATCCCTGGTGTTGTGTGAACAGAGATGAAATGGCCATCAGCAGCAGCCTGCTGGCTAGACTCCAGGGGGCTTCCTTCCCCACCCCCTGCACCCTCCCAGGATTGTGGGGAGGCCTGTCTGGCTCTCTGGAACAATGGAACAAAGAGGCCTCGGAGAAGTTGCAGGAACCTGTTTGACCGAGATTGCTGCTGTAATGAATCAAGCTCCTGAAACTACTTCCACCTCCTCCCTGCGCAAATATCCCTGGGCCCGAAGCCGTGTCTTGCCCCACAGGAGCCCATGCTGGGGCTTGTTACTGAGAAGCAGGAAGAAACGCGCTGGGGGTGGAGGTGGGGGAGGGAGGACGAGCTCACAGCATCTTTCCTCAGGGAGGGGGTGGAGGGACTGGCCCGCTCAGGGCTGGGAAAGAGAAAGGTTGTTCCGTGAAAGTCCCTGACTAGTCAGTCATTACTGCAGGTCACTGATGTGTAACCAGGGCATAGGGGCCTGACTGCAGGACTAGGAATTTCATTCCTACCCAGACAGTACTTCCTGATATACCTTGCTCTTGCTAACAAGCTCTGTGTCGCCCACTGTACCAACAAAACCCCTACCCACTCACCAAAGAAAATAATACAGCTCTCTTAAAGAGCTAAGAGTCCAGAGGAAGTGTGCTGTGAGCTTTATGGAGGTGGTCCTATTTGGTCCTTAAAGCCACCCTGTGATATATGCATGATGATGATCCTCCCAGCATCAGATAAGAAAAGTGATTCTTAAGGGTTAAATGACTTGCCCAAATCACTTGCTGTATTCAAGCCAAGATTCAAATTCTGGCAGGCTTTCTTGACCTCTGACCACATCGTGATTCTGATGAAGATGAGGATGATGGCGATTTATTGTATTCTTAGATGAAGTAACACCACATGAGAGGTACTACTTTTATTCCCATTTTACAACTGATGAAGCTGAGGAGGCCCAGAGCAGCTGATTGGCTGGGGAGCAGTGGGGCTGGAATTAAACTGAGCGCGGACTGGGTGCCAGGCCCCGCCCTGAACCACAAAGCCCTGCTTCATGTCTACCCGCCCCTCAGAATGACTACCCTGTGGAGTCTGAGTGACCGGTTAGCCTCCCCTCCTTCCTCTCCGCTGTCCTTCACAACCCTCTGCACCTCCAGCATTTGAAAAAACCCAAAGAAGTTCAGTGAAGCACTCAAGATGGCACAGTTAGAGGCGGCGCAGGCACAGGAGCTTAGATTTCTGGTGGCTGCTTTGGGCACTGCCCACCCGACCACACTACCTCCCTGGGGTGGCCCAAGCCAGCTGCAGGCTCTGAGCAAGGCACGGGGAGGTGGGAGCCAAGAGCGCAAGAAAACGAAGTGGGAGTGAGGAGAAAGGAGCCACCTGGAAGCTTGAGAGCCCGATCAGTGAAGAAAAGTCAAACTTCTCCCCACTGATGCCACCAGATTTGGAATCTACGATTATTCAGCAGCAGCAGTAATAAAGGTCTCTCCGAGTGACCTGGCCTCTCAAGGACTCTCCCAGCGGTTCTGACAGCCCCAGTAAAGGGCTTGTGTTCCCGGGCTGCGGACCCTGCCTGCTCTCTGGCCCTGAGCACAACTGCTGGATCTCTTCTGCGGTGAGCTCTCCTCCCTGTTGCGACTGCAGGCAGGCCTGGCTGGAAAGGACCTTTACAGCTCTCTGGTCTTGCCCAGAGCCTTGCGGTGCTGCCCGGCTTCCTCTTCCACAGCCTCCTCTCAGCTCTCGCGCTCAGAATGCAGCCAGATCTACTGTTTGACAGGTGTGAAAATGAACCATCTCCCCTGCCGCCCCCAGAGGTGTCTGCATCAAGCTGACATCTTCTTTAGAGCACTGGATGAAAGGGTCACAAAGTGGCATTTCTACGTGAGCTCATGCTGGATAGATATCCTCCAAGGGCACCGGGGACATTAGCACTAACAAGCTGGAGATGCACTGAGGCTGCTGTCTGAGCCTATGGAATACAAACAGTGAGGGGCCCTGAGTGCAAGAGTCCAAGCCCTTGTTCCCATTGAGTTTCAGCAGCCTCAGTTTCTTGTAAAATGTTTTTGACACTAGTTGCCTCAAATAGGAACACTGACTGCTTAATTGAGCTTCCAAATTCAAATTTGATCAAATTTAAAATGCAGTTCTTGCTAAATATAGTTCCAAGCACTTAAATATCTGCACATTTCATCCTCACAGCAGGTCTGTGCTTATAGGTAGTCATCATTGTTCAGTCGCTAAATTGTGTGTCTGACTCTTTGCGACCCCATGGACTATAGCCCACCAGGCTCCTCTGTCCAAGGAATTTCCCTGGCAAGACTACTGGAGTGGGTTGCCATTCCCTTCTCCAGGGGATCTTCCCAACCCAGGGATTGAACTTGTGTCTGCTGCATTGCAGGCGGATTCTTTACCACTGAGCCACCAGGGAAGCCCTTGTAAGCAATAGGTACTGTCATTATCATCTTCCCTGATATGCAGT